TTTCCGTCCCCCCCCCCCCCCCCTCCTCCATTAGGAACCGAAAGCTAAAAAAGCCTCAAAACCCGATTAGATAAATTCAGGGAGGGAAAACTCCATCCTCCAGCTGTGGCTGCCGCGGGCAGAGTCAAAGCTGCTCTCACCCCCCCCTGCTTTGGGCTGCCTCTGCATCAGCTTTGCCTGAATTTTGGGGAGGTTTATGCTTTGTTCTGGCACATCACCATCTCCTTAATGCGTTTTATCTTCAATTCCTGGTGCTCGCAGCCTTCCCCGGTACTCCCGGTGCTCTGGCAGGGTCTGTGAGCAGCGGCTGGGTGTTCGCAGCGAGGAGCTGACGGCTGTCACCCTGGTGTCTGGGGGCTTGGGGACGCTGCGTGCTGCCAGCTCGCTCAGGCATCTCCCATCCTTTGGACCCCGCAGGTTGTCATAGAAACAGATGCAGCATCTTACGCCTTCCGGTTCATGTGCTTTGATGATTTGGAGCAAGTTGTCATCCACGTCACCATGTCACTTAAGAAGGTCTTTCCGGATTCATCCCCTGGGTAAGGGTCTTCTGCTCCTCAGGGGTAGTTGTGTAGGTACCAGAGCAAACCCTTGGCTCACAAAAGCCCCCAAATATGGGGTGCGTTCAAAATTAGTACCTTTTAACAGGAGAAAACCACACTGATGGAGGCCAGACCCTGCTCCCTGATTGCGTTGGGAAGGATATTTTTGGCCACTGTCCCACACAGGGGCTGTAGTTAAACATAAGGTGGTGGGGATGCTCTTCTCCTGGCCCACCACGCACCCCTCTGGTCCTCCCCCAGGACACTGCTCAAGAACTCCCCCCCCAACCTGTACGAGAGGATCCGGCAGGTCACAGACTCGCTGGAGGAAATGCTGCAGAGCAGCCCCGGGCCCTGTGGTAAGTCCTCCCCCTCCTTCCCCCCAACAACATCTCCCCCAGGATGGGCCAGGAGGGTTGGAGCACCCTGGGAACCCTCACAGCCCAACGTTCCTCAACACCAGCTCTGCTGGCTGGGCACCCAGAGTGGCTTAAATCAGAAGGAGCCCTGCTGGTGGGGTCTGCTCTCCACCAGCCCACCCCATCCCATGGGGCAGGAGCAGGTTTGAGGGGAAGAAACTCCACAGAAAGGAGCAGGACACTCAGTGCCCACCTGTGAGAATGTGCAGCCATGGATGCTTCCACTCACCGCATCCAGCATCGCCGCAGAGCCAGGGGCTTTTCCTCTAGCCTGGGCTGGAGTAAGATACCTCCATTCTCATCACCCAATGCACGTTGCCTGGTATCTATGGGGATCAAGCAAAGCCAGCTGCAGCCCCTGGAGTTGTGTGATCATCTTCGGGCTGGCATAGACCATGCAGAACACTCTGGCCCCTTTGAGGAGGGAAAGGAGAGTCCCCATCACCCTTCTCCTGCTTTTTGCCCTCCCCAAAAGTCTTCACCATGTTCCTGTGGGAAGGTCTGCCATCAAGACCGCCTTCTCTTTGCAGGGGGCTTTTCGGAGACCTACGCTGCTTTATGTGATTACAACGGCTTTGCCTTTCGTGAGGAGATCCAGTGGGTAAGCTGGTCTGTCCCATGGAGAAGTGACGATGGCAGTATCGCCATTGGCAGGGGAGCAGGATGCTCAGAGGGCTGCTGGGGCTGGGAACATCCCAGGGACATCTTTGTGACCAGAGATATCCCAGAACAGGGAACTGCAGTTTTCCCTGGCTTGAGTGACCCTTGCTTCTTGGGATGAGATGCCTTGGACAAGGTTGTTTCCCATACTCGAAATCTGGGACCTTACTGGGTGGCCCTAGAGGAGGACAACCCCACTGGGACCCAGCCACAGCAGGATCAAGTGTCCCCCTCTTCCTCAGGGACACTGGCTCCAGTCCACCTCTCCTCACACCCTCGTTCCCACCAGCCTGGGGGTGTGTTGCCTTCTTCTGGCAAGTCCCTCCAGAAGGGGACCAAGATCCACCAAGCTGTCCCACCAGTTTGGGACATGCGCCCTGTCAGCCATAGTGTTGGGGAGGTTTTAGGCTCAAGGTTTAGACAAGGGGTTCCCCAGTGGAGGGTCCCTGAGGGCTCAGCTCCCTCCAGCAGCACCAGGTGCCTGAGTCTTCCCCAGGACCAGGTGCTGAGCCTGATCCGTGTGTCCATCCATCCGGACAGGACGTGGACAACATCTACCACAGCCAGGACTGCCGGGAGTTCAACCTGCTGGATTTCAGCCACCTGGAGAGCCGGTGAGTGCCCTGGCCGTGCCACCTGTGGTGCCTCATGCCACACACTTGTCCCCATCTTCCCCAACCACGGCAGGGGTGGCCCAACACACTCCTCCGGTCGTGTTAGAAGCTTTTATCGCTTTACACGCTCCAAGGACGCCACATCTGCTGGTGGACGCTCAACACAGCGAGCTCTGTCCCCTGGGGTGACGGCCCCAGTGGCCAGGCAGCCCCCCTCGTTCATTTTTAACACTTAAATAAGCCTGAGAGCTGCTCATGGAGGTGAAACGTGACCATCACAGCGGCGTCTGGCAGCTCGTGGCTGTCAGGTGTTTCCCTATGCAAAGCAGCTGGTGCTGCTCCCCCTCACAGGCACAAAAATAGCTGTTACGGGGTTATAACCTCACGGCAGGGCCCTGAGCTCCGGCTGTGCCCGCGCTCATCCCCGTGGGGCTCAGCCACGTCTTCATCCCGAGAGAGACGGAGCCAGGGTTCAGCTGAAACTTGTTCCCAGACGAGAAAAACCTGCCTTGTTCTTTGCACCCGAGCTCGGAACTAAAAAGGAACACCCCCCCACCCTGGGGTTTTGACAGAAACGTGCAAATGTTTTGATTAATTTTATTTTTACCTGAGGGAATAATTTGGGGAAGGTGAGCAGTGTTTGTGGGATGCTTTGAACTCATGGACCTCATGTTGATCATGATGTTGGGTTACCCTGGGGTTGGGTGTCTTGGGCCATCCCCCCGTTGGGTGTCTTGGGGCCCCCGTTTGGGACCAGGCTTGGCTCAGCCTGACTCCCTCCTCCTCGTCACCTTGCAGAGACGTGGCCCTGAGTGTCGCCGCCTTGTCCTTCAACCTGTGGTTCACCAAACTCTCCTGCAAGGACTTCAGGCTGGTGAGTGCTGGCGCCATGGTGCTAGGTGTACTGGAGATAATGGTTGAGTTTCCAAAAAGGCTTTCTTCTTCCCTGCCAGAACCAGGAGATTTCGGAGCAGCTGCTCTACATGCTCAGCAAATCGGTGATGCTGGAGGAGCTGGTGCTGGAAAACAGCGGGTTGAAAGCGTAAGCAATGGCATTGCAGGGCCCTGGCATGGAGATGAGGAGGGTTTGGGCAACCTGATTCTGATCCCTTCATGTGGATGGAGCTGGGTCATCCATGGACCCGTGAGCCAGGGGGTTGTTGGTACCCCATCCCCTCCACAGCATGAAGCTCACCAGGAGCAGAGACACCACTGCCCATAGCCTGGAGGCCAACAAGCATCACCCACCTTTGGAGATGTTCTGCTTTCTCCTGCTGGGTCCTCAGATGGAGCTCTGCCATGCAGGCAGGAGCTGGTGGCACTTCCCTGTAAGGCAACAGGGTTGGTGGCCATGCCTCCCGGAGGTGGCCATAGCTTGCACAGATGGGTGGCCCTTCTCCCTGCAGTGACTTTGCGCAGAGGATGGCTCAGGCGCTCAGCAACCACCCTGACTCTGTCCTGCACACCATCAACCTTGCTGGCAACCAGCTGGAAGACAGAGGTACCCAACTTCTGGGCCGGGATGAGTTTCCACCCATGAAAACTGATGTTCAACCCCGGATCCCACTGGCAGCAGCCCCCTGGCTGTAGCTTGCGGTGGGACGGACCTGCGCTGGCATGACCACTCAGGGCTCTCTGCTCTTTTATCAGGGATTGTTGCCTTCAGCCGGCATGTGGAGAAGAATCCCAAGGGTCTGCAGAGCCTCAGCTTGGCCAGGACGATGCTCAGTGCCAAAGGTACAGCCTGGCATCCCACTCCCTGCCCAGAAACCAGTGGGAGGCTGGGCATGATGGTGCTTGCGGACAAGCTGGGACCAAAGGGCTGGCTGAAGGGGCTTCATCTTCAAGGATGTGATGTCCTGCTGCCCCAGCTGTAGGAAAATGTCTCTTCCTCTGCTCCATGGCTCTCCCTGGTGCAGGGGACCCATGGGCATCCATCTCTCCCCATCTCCCCGAGCAGGGATGAGCACGTTATGCAAAGCCCTCGCAGATAACAAAGCCATCGGATCCTCACTGCGGAACTTGGACCTCTCTGGAAACCCTGGCACCCTGGCTGGGGACGACATCAATGTGAGTGCCTGGGATGCCATGAGGTGTCCCCTGCAAGGGCTTCGGTCCCCTGGTGTCCTCACCCTGCCTTGCAGCACCCCAAGGGACGGGGAAGTCACAGTTGAGACACCTCCCTGCATGTCCAGGGGGAGTTGAGGGATGCACTGGGGACAACCCGCTGCATCTCCTCCTTGGGAGGGTGGGAGATACCACCTGGGACAAGGAGGCATTCCCAGGAGTGAGCAGCATGGAGCTGGGTCCCTCCGTGTGGGATTTATCCCTGTGCTCAGCAGGAGGGAGGAGACAGGCTGGAGCTGGGATTCCTGGTCTGCAGGGTGGTCCATGGGGGGGGTGTCAGGGTCCTGGGCAAAGCTGCTGAGCCCCTTCTGCCCACAGAACCTGCAGAGCCTCCTCCGCCAGTGCCACTCGCTGTCCCACCTCAGCCTGGCCGGCACAGACTGCCCTTTGGATGCTGTGAGTACCCAGGGGGTCCTGGCAGTAAGACCCCCTCTCCCAAAACCCTGCCACCCCATCCCAACTGGCCATGGGGCTGTGGAGAGAGGGCATATGTTGTGTGGTGGGCAGCCAGCCCAGCTCTGTGGCCCCCCTGCCACGGGTGGGCTGGGGGACTCAGGGTTCAGCAGAAGGGATTAGGGACCCCCAGCATGGGGCAGACCCCCTTAGCACCTCCTGCAGCTCATCCATCCCATCACCCATCCCTCCCTGGGCTGGGTGAGGGGCCTCGGGACGAGCTGGGTCCTCTTCTACACGGCTCACATCCACCATGCAGCTCTTCGGAGCCCTGGTCCACGGATGCCACACCAGCCTCGTCCACCTGGATCTCTCCAAAAACGTGTACTCCAACAAGTAAGCCCCCCCGGGGTGGTGTGGGAGGGTGGGCAGGGGAGCATGGTACCCAGACAGTCGGCTGCTGGTGGGCAGTAGGTGATGCCACATTGTTCCTGTCCTTTTCAGGAGAATGAAAACCATCTCCCCTGACATCAGGATGTTTTTCAGCCAGGCCTGTGCCCTCAGGCACGTCTCCCTGGCGGGTACCAAGCTGCCAGCAGATGCTGTAAGGTGAGGTGGGACTGCGAGTCCATGGAGTTGGGGTGAGCACAGTCCGGGGTGGGGGGGAACTCGCCCAGGGTTCTGCACGTTGAGAGGGCTGGTAGGGAGGATGGATGGGGCTGTGAGAGGCAGAGCTCTGGGAAGGATGTCTTCCCCAGCACCCCGTTCCCACTGCCCAGACCGTTGAGGGTGCCCCACGGCGTGTGCTGGTGCCCCCATTGCTCACACCAAGGGGTGGCTTTGGTGACTTTTCCAGGGCGCTGCTGCAAGGGCTGGCAGACAACAGCCACATCAGTGACCTGCACCTGGATCTTAGCAGCTGCGAGGTGAGGGGCCAGCACCCAAGGGTGCTGTCAGTCCAGCCAGGGGGTCTCATTGTGGCATTCAAGCTGCAACGGGGGGCTCAATCCCTCTGTGGGAAGGTCCATGCCCTGTTCTGCCTTGGGGTGGGGGTGACCTTCCCGACGGCAGAATCTTGTTTGCAGGGCTTGGTGCCTCCCCTTGTACTGATGTCTTGCTGTTTCTTCCAAGCTGAGATCAACGGGGGCCCAAGTCATCCAGGATCTCATCCCCGACGCCAGCTCCATCAGCCACCTGGACTTGTCTGACAATGGTAGGTTGCTTTTTTGCCCCACATAGGCGAGTGTCTCCTCCATCTGCAGGTCCAGCCACTGCAGGCTGTTTGGCTGAGGCCACTTCAGCCCCAGCATCTCGTGAGCTTGTAGGAGTCCCCAGGGAGATGGGTCAGGTCTGCTGCGCTTGCCTGCCTCTTGATAAGACAACATTAAGCTGCACTTGTCACCTGTGAAAGTCCTTCAGCAGCAGCAGCTGCAGCCTCACGGGCTGTGTCTCATGGGGGTGAAGGCACCCAACGGCCAGCAGTGGACTCCTGCTTGAGAAATTACCACCTTGTCATGCTTTATGGATTTTTTACACCCAAAACCAACTACCTATCCATCTTCCCCAAGGCAGGCAGTCCCTAAAAGTGCTCCTTTCCTTCTGCTGATGTCCTTTCCAACTCCTCCAACCTCTTCCATCACCTTCCAGTGCTGCAATCTGTGGTGGACAGTGGTGGTGGCTGTTTCCTCTCCCCTTGTTCAGAGAGAGCAGCTTCAGCAAGGAGCACAGGGTGACTCCTTCATCCCCTCCTGCCAAAAATTCTCATTTCACATCTTTCTTGGTACTGGCCTCTTCACCCCACCGAATCCAAGGTGGTCTCATGTTCCAAACTCAGGGTTTGAAGCATCGAAAAGGTCTCCCTGGGCTGAAACTCTTCACACCTCCCTGCAGGAGTTTACAGTCCTGCTGGGGCCCCTGCAGCCGTGGTCACAAACATCACCTCTGCCAGCTCTTAATGTCATCTAAAAGGCCCCAAACCTTAAAGGAGCCTTGCTAAGCTCTCACACCAGACCCTGCAGCGCCTCGACAGCCAGATGGCTCCGGGAAATCTGACGTGGTTTGAAATCATTCAAAAACCTGTTGGGCTCACCAGTGCTTCAAGAGCTCACTCTCTTACTCAAAATCTCTGTCCAACCTTTGTCAAAAATGCACTTCTGTTTTTGGCTTTCTCAGTAGAGCAGCTCCGTGCAGGAGGGACAGTCCCAGAGGTGGGTCTTGGTGTCTCTTGCCCTTGGCTGGCAGAGCAGCTGGGCAAGCAGGTCCCTGCCCATGTCCCTGCCCAGGGGGAAGGGTGTCACCTTGCTGGGTTACCCTGGGGATGAGAGGAAGGGAGGGCAGGCAGCTGCCTGCAAGCTGGGAGAACCCCTCCCGTGTTGTCCAGGGTGACGGTGGGGTGATGGAGGGGACATCCCTGAGGGATGACAGAAAGAAAGCTCCATAAGGGCTCCCGGTGGCTCAGCAGCCTTGACACCCCCAAATAGCAGAGGTTCCTAGAGCGGGTGCTCTTTCCTTGGGGTCATTCCAGGGACCCTGCCTCTGCACAGGTCTTCAGTCTCCTTGGGGGAGCCATGAAAAGGAGGAAGATGTTCAGGAGTTGCCCTGGTCATCTCTCCACCATCCCACAGTGGCAGTTTGGTGGCTCTGCAGGTCACCCTTGAGGGACCACCTTGATGCCATGGTCCAGACTTCTTGAAGCATCCTGGCGGGTGTCTCCTGTCTCTCTCAGGCTTCGACCCTGACATGGTGACGCTGGTGCTCTCCATTGGCAGAAGCAAGTCCATCAGACATGTCTCTCTGGGGAAAAACTTCAACATCAAATCCAAGTAAGCGCAAAGACGCAGGGTCTGGGCCAGGAGCCATCCCAGCACCGTGCACCCACCTCGCCTCTCTTGTCCCATCCAAGCCCATGGGCTGGTCAGGAATGCCAAGGAATGTCAAGAAGGACAGAAAACTGCTGGAGAGAGTCCAGCAGAGGCTATGAGGATGCTCAGGGACTGGAGCATCTCTCTGCTGAGGAAAGGCTGAGAGCCCTGAGGCTGTTCAACTGGAGAAGAGCAGACTGAAAGGGGTCTCATGGATGCTGCACAATAGCTAAAGGGTGGGGGCAAGAGGACGGGGCCACACTCTTCTCAGTGGTGCCCGGTGACAGGACAAGGGGCAACAGGCACAAACTGAAACATGGGAAATTCCATCTCAACATGGGGGAAAATCTTCTTTCCAGTGAGGGTGGCGGAGCCCTGGAACAGGCTGCCCAGAGAGGGTGTGGGGTCTCCTTCTCTGGAGATATTCCAACCCCACCTGGATGCAGTCCTGTCCAACCTACTCCGGGTGACCATGCTCTGGCAAGGGGTTGGACCAGATGATCTCCATAGGTCCCTTCCAACCCCTGCAATTCTGTAATTCTGTGGGGACCCACGGGGAGACCATTAGCTGCTCCTGGCACAGTTTCTATGGGACCACAGGGGCTGCAGGGACAGGGCACAGCTTCAGGCAAGAGCAGGAAGGAAGATGGAGCCTCCAGGGCATGTGTGGAGAATGTTCCTGTGACCCTCCTCACCTCTCCCGCAGGGAAGGGCTGTTGGATGTCCTGCACCGCATTGTCCAGCTCATCCAGGAGGACGACTGCGTAAGTCCAACTTGTCCTCAACCGTCCCAACCCATGCCCTTGGTCGCCCTCTGCCACCACCCTGCTGGGGTGCCATCCAAATCCCTCGCAGCACAGTCTGGGAACGAACCTCCCTCCCTCCCACTGCCATTCAAATCCTCCTGCTCTGATTTTCCCCGGTCTGAAGCAGCTGCTCGGGCAAAGAAGCGGGACCTGTTCCCGTTCATCTGGGAAAAGCAAGAGCCTGTGTCTGGCTGCAGGCACGGAGGAGATGCCTTGTATAACCTGGCTGCAGCCCAGCTTCCCAAAAAAACCCTCTTTCCTCCTCATTGCCTGCCAGGCATCTGAGCTAAATCTGGGGTGCTGCCTAAGCATCTGTTGCCCTCCTATTTTTTGGGTTCAGCATGACCTGGGCTCCCTGATGTCACTCCACCAGGGATGGAGGCTGTGTCTGGATGGATGCTGAACAATAGCTAAAGGGTGGGGGCAAGAGGACGGGGCCACACTCTTCTCAGTGGTGCCCGGTGACAGGACAAGGGGCAACAGGCACAAACTGAAACATGGGAAATTCCATCTCAACATGGGGGAAAATCTTCTTTCCAGTGAGGGTGGCAGAGCCCTGGAACAGGCTGCCCAGAGAGGGTGTGGGGTCTCCTTCTCTGGAGATATTCCAACCCCACCTGGATGCAGTCCTGTCCAACCTACTCCGGGTGACCATGCTCTGGCAAGGGGTTGGACCAGATGATCTCCATAGGTCCCTTCCAACCCCTGCAATTCTGTAATTCTGTGGGGACCCACGGGGAGACCATTAGCTGCTCCTGGCACAGTTTCTATGGGACCACAGGGGCTGCAGGGACAGGGCACAGCTTCAGGCAAGAGCAGGAAGGAAGATGGAGCCTCCAGGGCATGTGTGGAGAATGTTCCTGTGACCCTCCTCACCTCTCCCGCAGGGAAGGGCTGTTGGATGTCCTGCACCGCATTGTCCAGCTCATCCAGGAGGACGACTGCGTAAGTCCAACTTGTCCTCAACCGTCCCAACCCATGCCCTTGGTCGCCCTCTGCCACCACCCTGCTGGGGTGCCATCCAAATCCCTCGCAGCACAGTCTGGGAACGAACCTCCCTCCCTCCCACTGCCATTCAAATCCTCCTGCTCTGATTTTCCCCGGTCTGAAGCAGCTGCTCGGGCAGAGAAGCGGGACCTGTTCCCGTTCATCTGGGAAAAGCAAGAGCCTGTGTCTGGCTGCAGGCACGGAGGAGATGCCTTGTATAACCTGGCTGCAGCCCAGCTTCCCAAAAAAACCCTCTTTCCTCCTCATTGCCTGCCAGGCATCTGAGCTAAATCTGGGGTGCTGCCTAAGCATCTGTTGCCCTCCTATTTTTTGGGTTCAGCATGACCTGGGCTCCCTGATGTCACTCCACCAGGGATGGAGGCTGTGTCTGGGGTGGTGACACGCATCCTGATATGTGTCCCGGCCACCTCTCCCCATCCTTGTCCCCTTTCCAGCCTCTCCAGTCCCTCTCTGTGGCCGAATCACGCCTCAAGCTGGGAACCAACGTCCTGCTGAGCGCCCTGGGCAGTAACACCAGCCTCGTCACTCTGGACATCAGCGGCAATGCCATGGGGGATACGGGTGCCAAGATGCTAGCCAAGGCCCTGCAGATCAACACCAAGCTCAGGTAGCAGCAGCACCCTGTGGGTGCCCTTCCCACCTTGTGCCGGGTACCCCCGATACGGTGGTCCTAGTTGTGATGCTGTGAGGCCTTCAGAGGAGGCTTATCATGGCTCCTGGTGGCCACGGATGCAGCCCTGAACTGTTTCTGGTGCATGGTCGGATGCTGTGACTGTATCAGGGCAGGAGAGCAGCTCAGTCCCTGCCCCGGTGCTTGCCAGCTCTTTGCTCCTGCACAGCCCAGGATGCTGCAGGCGGATCTTTGTGGTCACTGCCCTCACCCCACGCTCTGCCATCAGTGCCTAAAATGCCATTTTTTGACCCCCATTGTGTGCCCACAAAGGCAAGGTAGGGGTGTCCACAGGGAACGGGGAAGGGTTTCCCAGCCAGGGCTGTTTCTCTGGGGGATGTCACCCACTGCCAGCAGGATGGTGTCTGCCTGGCCGTGTCCTCCCTGCCCTTTCCTTCCCTCCCTCCAGGCAGCCACGTGCTCAACAGCTCCTTGCAAAGCCCAAGTTTAGGATTTTGAATGTTGAGATTCAGATTTTTAACCCCAATTCCATACTTTTTGGTGCCTAAGGGGGTCAGCTTTGGGCTCACTCTTCCTGGCACACTGCCCTGGGGGGTGGGCACCCACCTGGGGGCTGTGTGGGTGGGCTCACCCCTGTCCTTCTGTTTGCAGGACCGTGGTTTGGGACAGGAACAACACAACCGCCCACGGGCTCCTGGAGGTGGCTCAAGCTTTGGAGAGGTGAGGGGGGAGCAGCTTGGTCCTCCTGGCTTGCTAGTGCCATGTAAAAGAGCCTCTAGCATCAGGATGTCACCGTCCCCAGGGCCTCTTGTCCCCTTGAAGCAACAAGTGCATCACACAGTTGTGTTCGGGAGTTGGTCTGTGGCTTGGGTCTTGCAGCCACCAAAGGAACCTGCCACCCATTTGGTGATGGCACCTTGTTCATGACTTCAGGGTGTCCCCCGAGTTCTTCCTCCCAACTCAGCACAGCCCCACATCACCCACAGCAGCTCCAGCAAGCCCAAGGCAGGGGGGGAGATCTGCTGTGGATGGAGAAACAATGCTCTTCTCTCTCCCCATGAAAGATGGGTAGAAGTTATCCACATGCCCAGTGCACCATTAGGTCTGGTGTTTGGCCATACAGGTTCTATGGAGGTGTAAAGAAAGAGGGGTGGATGGAGAGCCTGGGTGAGTGGTTGCCACTGCCCCACTGGGATTTGGCCATCCCCATCTCTAGGGCTGGACCTTGGGGCAGCATCCAGGCTGCTGTTGGGTGGCCTCTGGACCAATGCTATGCCCGCGTGGAGCAGCTGGGTGGGGATGAGCCCTGGGGAGGCAGAAGGGTCCATCAGCATCCTCACCCCCGTGCTGCCTCGCAGGAATTACACCCTCAAGTCGATGCCCTTGCCGATGAGTGACGTGGCACAGGCGTACCGCAGCAGTCCCGAGAGAACAGAGGAGGCTGTCCACAAGGTAGGGGGGACATACAGGGGTCTGGGTGCCACCAGCATGGGTCTGGATGCCACCGACACCCAGCCTGTGGCCTCCTGCCTGCTGTGCAGCTCCAGTCCTGCCTGACAAGGAACCAGCTGCGGCGCACGCTGCCCACCCAGACGTTCCGACTCCAGCAGGGCATCCTCACCACCTCTTCTGAACAGGTTTGCCGGCCAAATCACTGCCCTCCCCTGCCCCAACCAGCCCCACCCCCGCCCCCAGGCTCCCTCACATGAGCTCTCACAAGCAGCACAAACCCCTTTTCACCTTTCCTGAGGGGAGGGATGAGAGCGGGACCAAGGCAGAAGGGATGTCCCTGAGGAACCCTCCTGGTTGCATCCGTGCGTTTCATGCGTACGCAGCGCTGGGATGTCTCACTGCTGTGTTCCCGGCTCCCTGTGCACGCTCACCAGCCAACCCCTGCTGTGTGGCATCCCCAGTTATTCGGCAGGGATGCTCCCGGGGGGAGAATTCTGTAACCTGCCTGTTCCCCCTGCTTGCCCCATCGGGCCAGCGCATCCTTCTCCATCAAAGTCCCAGCAAGGAGGGGAGCCGGCGGCTGGGTGCGTGACGCAGCCTCTCTGTGCTCCAGATGGTGAACGAGATCTGCCTGAGCGTGCAGAAGCACGTCGACATCCTCAGCGCGTCCTGCTCGGGCAGGGAGGTGGAGGCGGACATCCTGTGCGCGGAGGAGGCCATCAGGAACGCCAACCTCTCCATCAGCGTGAGTCAGCCCCGCGGGGAAACCCCTCCGACCCGCCCGGCTTCGATTCGGGATCGAAGCGGGTTATTGATCAGTTAATGACATAATTAACCAGCAGTCGGGGAACAGCAGAACAGTCAGGGCAACAGATGCACGTCACCCAGCTCTTGCAAAATGTTAAAGAACAGCTGTGAATTTATGAATCCCCTTCTAGAACAAGTCCCACAATGTTCTTAATTGCCCTCCACAGTGAGGACACCCCCTGTCATGCCCCGCTCCTCGGGGGAGGTGAGTGCTCCAGCTTTGGGCACATCTGCAGCCCACAGATGCCCACGCTGGTGAGAAACACTCCCTGCATCCCCGGGGGGGGTCCTTCCTTGGGGCACCCTCATCCCACCTTGGCTGGACGCAGCCCAGAGATGAGGATGAACCATCAGCCCGTGATGAAGGCCACCACATTGGCTGGGCAGCTCCTGGTCCTGTCAGCTCTGGTTTGGGCCTTCTGGTCCCACTTCTCTCTTCTTATGGCACCTTTTCCTCCTCTACTTCTCTTCAAACCACCTCCTTTTCCTTTTTCCCAACTCTCTTGACACCACTCCAAGTACTTAATCCGGTGGAGATAGGATTTCAGAGGATAGTGGTGATGGTGGAAAGCTGGTGCAAGGGATGAGAAGGGAACTCTTCCAATGTGGGCAGCAACATGTCTGGGCACAGGGGGGGAAAGAGTGTCAGTGGATGGTGGAGAGCAGTTGAGGGTCCAGCTGGGGGGACAAGGGGACCACGAGGGGTCCAGGATGCCCAAGCATGGCCCAGCACAGCCAGAAGGTCACAGGGTCTCCCCAGTGGATGCTCTCCCATGGGGCAGTCCTGGATACAGGCTGCTCGTGGAAGGGTGGAAAGCAAGATGAAGTGCCACGGAACGATCCACGTCGTTTCTCTTCCCATGGCAGATCCTGCCCCTCTTGTACGAAGCGGGAAACACCCCGTACCAGAACGTCAAGCTGCAGCACAAGCTGGAGTGTCTCACGGAAGAAGCATCGCAGACCTGTGGCCGGGAGATCCAGGTGGGCACTCGTAGTGAGCTACCAGCAGCACAGGATGCTCATCAGTCTCAGCCTGAGGATGAGGGACATGATGTCTCTTGGAAACCATGTGAATGCTGATAGAAGAGACCCCCTAAACCTCCCGTTTCCTCCCCAAACTTCAGGCGATCATGCAGGCAGTGCTGGACACAGCGCACAGCCTCTGCCCGGCCGTGGTGCAGAAGAGCGGGGTCAGGGACCAGCTGGTCAATGCCATGTCGGAGCGGATCTACCTCCAGGACCACCTCAACATCAGCACCGTCCTGGACCAGATGGTCACCGACGTCTTCAGCAAGCTGAAGTGGGTGGCGTGCCGTTCTTCTGGGAATGTCCCGGGTGCTCCTTTGGGTGCCCCAGCCAAGCAACCAACTCCCTGGCAAGGCTCCCCCTGGGGGGGGCAGCCCTATGGCTAGCAGGGGAGGTGGGTGCTGGCCCTCACACCCCCTCTCTCTCCGCTCCCAGTGAAATCAAGCTGTCTGTCACCGCCGCCGTGGCCGACTGCATCGTGGATGCTGTGCTGGGAGACCTGACCGTGGCCCAGTGCAAGCTGGTGAGCACTGGGGAGGGGGGGATGTGGGGCTGGGGGGGCAGGATGGGGCTACCCTGGCATCACCCGGCTGCTTGGCCACCGCAGCCACATTTGCTGGCTGGGAAGCAGGACAATTCCCACTCGGGCTGAGTTTTCCTCCCAGGTAATCCCCTCCTGCTGCGGTCACCACAGCATTAACGCCCCCAGAAGGGTCTGGGGGGCACTGGTGTGAAGCCAGGCACACCGTGCGTGGGGCAGGCGTGGGGCAGCTGTGCCGGGGGCCAGGCGGGCAGCTAATCAGCCCTAAATCCCCTGGCAAATCCCGGCTGCGGGTAGGGAGAGGACCGGAGGGACGCAGCGCACGCAGGGCGCTCTTCGGGGATAATTTAAGCACTTCCTAATGGTTTTAGGCAGAGAGCCTCCCCAGGCTGGGGCTCGACCTCCCAGCGCTGCTGCCGGAGCCGGCTGAGGACGATGCCACCGCGCCAGAGAGGGGCAGGAATCCTTCAGACCTCGCTGCAGAGGAGGTAGGGTCCGACCCCGCTGCCGCCGTGGGTGACCGACCCCGTGATGCCCGCCCTATAACCACCTCTGATCCGTCTTACCGGATGACGCTGGGCTTAACCACGCTGCCTTGCTGGGCACCTGCACCCCCCCAGGGCAGCGTTAAGGCAATTAGTGTTGGGAAATAGAACCATTAGCCCGCCTGGCCATGCTGCTTGCCTTGCTGGCAACCGGGAGGGTGTCCTTGTGGTGGTCACAGCCACATGCAGCCCCTCTGGCCCACCATTGCTTCAGGACCTGGGATCCAGGGGTCCAGGCTGGGAGAACATCCCGTCCAGCATTATGGGTGGTTTCGGTGCCGGACCAAGAAAAGGGGGTGCAGCCCCGGGGGTCTGGGGGTGATAGCACCTACCACTGGGCCAAGCCTGGCTGGCTCCAGCTGCCAGGGGGATGCCCCTCGCCATGGCCAGCTCGTCCACGCCGGAGCCACCACCATCCCTCTCTCCCTGCAGTACAAGATGGCCCTGCGGAGGAAAAACAAGCATTTCAGAAGCATTCGGCCCACGCCAACCGTGAGAAGTGAGGTCACCGCGCGGCTTTGCCATGGCTCAGTGTGTGCCCGGGGGGGGGCACGGCAGTGGTGGGGCTGGTGGGCAGAGCCATCAGAGAAGATGGCACAGGCTGGGTGCAGAGCCTGGCATGGCTCTGGGCCCTTTGGAGGGCAGAGCCCACCTTGAGCTGGCTCTCGTGCTGTTTTTGGAGATGTCAGCCCACTCGGCACCCGTGGGTGGTAGGGTAAATGCCCCCAGGTGTCCCTCCTGCCATAGCCAGGGAGGGGGTGGGAGGTTTGACTGTGACTCCGGGTGCTGTGGCATCTCCCCCTGCCACCCCCAGGGACCACCACCCAGCAGCCCTGGGCACCTGGCACAGGGGAGGGGATGTTGCCCACGAGGGCTCCTGCTGCTGAGCTGTCCTGGCTTTCTCTGCCATCGGTGTCACCCCATGGAGCCCTGCGTACCCCTGGGGGTGAGGTGGGGGGGTCACAAGCAATGAGCAGCTGGTGGCCAAATTCTGCTTTCTGGGGGTTTGGCTGTAGCTTGTATTTGGCTTTGGCTGAAGCAGAGTTCGTGCCGGCCCCCAGCCCCTGGCAGCCAGGTGTCTCCAGGGGACCCCTGGTGTCCCCAAGCCCAGCAGCACCCTGACCCCCACCCCGCAGGCAACCAGGGGGGGTGAGGGGCTGCCCGCAGAGCAAAACGGGGTGTGTTTGTGGGTGCCCAGTGCTGGCAGGGCTTGTGATGTAGAGTTGCTACTAGCCACAGGTCTTGCTGCCCTCCAGCCCCCAGCAGCCAGGTGTCCCCAGTGGACCCCTGATGTCCCCAAGCCCAGCAGCACCCTGACCCCCACCCCGCAGGCAACCAGGGGGGGTGAGGAGCTGCCCGCAGAGCAGAACGGTGTGTGTTTGTTGGTGCTCAGCCTTAGCAGGGCTTGTGATGTAGAGCTGCTACTAGCCACACGTCTCACTGCCCCCCAGCAGCCAGGTGTCCCCAGTGGCCCCCTGATGTCCCCAAGCCCAGCAGTACCCTGACCCCCACCCTGCAGATAACCAGGGGGGCTGAGGAGCTGCCCACAGAGCAAAACGGGGTGTGTTTGTGGGCACCCAACCTTAGCAGGGCTTGTGCTGTAGAGTTGCTACTAGCCACCCCAGCCCCTGGCAGCCAGGTGTCCCCAGGTGACCTTGATGTCCCCAAGCCCAGCAGCACCCTGACCCCCACCCCAGCGGGCAAACTGGGGGGGTAAAGAGCTGCCCAGAGAGCGAAACAGGGTGCGTTTGTGGGTGCCACTTGCCGGGCCAGTGCCATAGAGTTGCTATTTGCCACAGGTCTCAGGGCTTGCTGTGGAGGCTGGCGGGCTCCCTGCCCTGAGCATCCCAAAACGCCTCCCCCCACCCCCTCTTCTCCCC